GATAAGACTGTCTGTTTGTGATTAATAGTTTTATGTATTTAGGTGCTTCCATATTTGGTGCATCAATATTTGTAATTGTTAGCTCTTCCTGATGGAGAGACCCTTTAATTATTATATCGCCCTTCTTCATCCTTTGTAACGGTCTTTAAAGTCAAGTTTGTCTGATATAAGTATAGCTTCTGCAGCTCCTTTTTTACTTCCTGTAGCATGATAGATATTTCTCCATCTCCTTACTTTCAATCTGAGGGTGTCCTCTGTCTAAATGAGTTTCTTGTAGACAGCAAATAGATGGATTTTGTTTTTCTTATCCATTCTGCTACACTATGTGTTTTGATTGGGGCATTTAGTCCTTTTACATTCAGTGTTATTATTGAAATATATGGGTTTAGAGTCATTGTGTCATTTGAGGGATTCATGCTTGTGGTGGTGTCTCTGGTATCTTGCATTCCTTGCCACATTTCCCTCAGAGTATCCCCCTCAGGATTTCAATTTCTTTCAATTTTTGTTTATTTGGAAAGACTTTTATCTCTCCGTCTATTCTGAACGAGAGTTTTGCTGGATAGAGGATTCTTGGCTGCATATTTTTTCTGTTTATTGCATTGAAGATCTCCTGAAATTCTTTTCTCGCCTGCCAAGTTTCAGTAGATAGTTCTGTGACCACTCTGATAGGTTTCCTTTGTATGTTAGGGCCCTTTTCTCCCTCGTTGCTTTCAAAATTCTCTTTGTCCTTATATTTTGCCATTTTTACTATGATATGTCGTGCAGAAGATCGATTCAAAATCATCTGAGGGGTGTTCTCTGTGCCTCTTGAATTTCAACATCTACTTCCCTCCCAAGGTGGGAAGTTCTCTGCTATAATTTGTTCCAGGACTCCTTCAGCACCTTTCCCTTTCTCTTCCTCTTCAGGGATTCTAATGATACAGATATTGTTCTGTTTGATTATTTTGCTGAGCTCTCGAACTCTTCTTTCATGTTCCTGGATCAGCTCATCTCCCTGCACGAGAGAGAGGTTTTTCTGTTCCTCAGCGACAAGGACAGTGTCTTAAGCAGTTTCAGCCACTCTCTTTCCCCTCCAAACTTCCCTGGAGGGGAACCGCCCCCATCCGTCGTGTCTCTAGTCCCGGCCCGATTTTATCTTCCCCAGTTCTCACTCACGCTAGAAGGTTTTCTCAGCGGACTCTGTCTCCTTTTCCTCCCAACTCCTGGATTCTGCAAGGGTTCCTATGGCTTCAGACCTTCTCTGTGTGAAATATGGGAGCGAGTTCAATGTGTGGAGTTCCCTACTTCTCAGCCATCTTGCCCCCTTCCCTTGCTATTGGATTTCAAAGTAGTAGAAGGTGTGTGCTCTTTTCCAAATCTCACGTTAAGTTCCATTGAGCTCTGCACTTTGTAAGCAAACCACATGTTCTAAATCCTCCTCTCTTTCTTTCAAAGGAAAGCCTCCATACAGCAGAGCAACACACAAGGGCAACTCCACACAGCAGACAGGGCTGGGTCTAGGGGAATGCTGAGGGAGAGATGGTCCAAACACGTCATAAATGAGGAAAAGATCTCTCAGAGAACCCCTCATCTCTCCAAATGGAATGGTAGGCTTTAAGACCAGAACCAGAATGTAGGTCTTCTATTAATAGTAGCTTATGCTTTTGCCTTGTTGACACATAGTTTGGCGATGCCATGCATTTTAGAGCGTCTTTACATTGAAATTAGCAGAAGTCCATTGAAGACGTAAGAGTCTTGATGGGACTGCTCTGACCAAAGGCTGAGAGCCTTTGGTATTGGAGGGGACTTCAGAGGTTAGGATGACCACAACTTGTGAGGTAGGTGAGTACAGCACTGTACTTACTTATAAAACCCAGTAGCAGACAAGCTCACTGCGTCCTGGTAGGCAGCCATGACCTGAGGAGAGGAAATAGACCAGAAGGGCTCAGCAGGGTTGCCAGGATCCCTGACCCAACACTAAGGTTTCATGAGTTCACCCTCCTCCTCTGGAAGCTGACCAACTGTTTGTACCAGTGACCCTCACTTCCACACCTTGCCTCACGTTCTCACTGCACTGGGTGATTGCACTGTGCTCTCCCCTGCACTGGGTCCTTGCCACTGGAAGCCTGGGGTGCTACAATAGCCTCTTAGCTGGTCTCCCCCCATCAAGTAGCCTTCCCACCCTGCCAGTGGCCCAACCCAACCAGAGTGAGCTTTTTCTTTTTAATTTTTAATGTTTATTATTATTGATATAGAGAGAAACAGCATGAGTGGGGGCAGGGCAGAGAGAGAGGGATACACAGAATCTGAAGCAGAGTGAGCATCTTAACATACCACACTGCCCACAGCACCCTCCTACTCTAGAACTTTTGCTGACTCCCCATTGTCCATAGAGCCAATAGTTGACATTAAGGACCCCAATCCTCTCTCTGGCTTTATGTTGCACACACATTGCCATGCCAGCCAACCTCACTTGTCAGCGCTCTCCCAGCCCTTCCATGTTCCCACACCTCTACACCTCAATTCATGTGGCTACTGCACTGTATCTGTCCCAGTCCTTTTCTTCACTCAACCACCAGCCCAGGTTTGTCTCTCCATGTCTCCATGCTAAAATCCAAACTACCAAAATCAACCTACATTCATGTGGCGTTTATGTGTGCGGTATCTGTGAGCGTGGGAAGGGATTAGAGGTCATGTGAGGCACAGTAAGGTGAGTGGGTCTGAGAGAAATAACTTATTTTCTTTGAGTCCATTGAGGGAGACTCGTACAATCTGAGCTGGGTCACGTGTGGGCTCACTTTCCATGCTCCCACTGTGCTCACTTTTCCCACCCCAGCTCTGGGAGATGGGAAAGCAGGGCTGCCACTGAGATGTCTGCATGTTGGAAGAGACAAAGCACCTCCCCACCCGGGAGGGACATCCTTGCTGCTTCCCTCTGAGGGTTCCCAACACACAGGCCTCCAAACCAGAAACCAGAGAACTGGGCTCATTCTTGTGATGAGTGCTTGCCTACCACTTCTAAATTCACAGGAAAGAAATAAACTCTTGGGTAATATCTCTTTCCTCACTCCTTCACAGATGCAGCCTCAATGGACCCGGACTCCAGAGATGAGAAAGGGGAAGTGCTGCTAAGCAGCCCTCTGTGAGCAGGTGTGAAAAAACCCAGGCTCATCAAGCCTGAGGACAGACGAGGTATGGACCCAGACCCGAGTCAGGCACATTCAGTGGTCCCTGTGCCTTCTAAGGCTCAGAGCAGCCAAACCCCCAGTCTCCATGGGGTTGTCAAGATTCTGGCTCAAAAGTTTTCCTCAAGTGCCTTCCCTCCACTATGAAAGCCATAGAGAAAGGGGACGAGCAAGATGGAGCCTTTACTTGTCCTGTGAAACCACATGACCACATCAGCTTCTCCGCCTGCGTGACTAGATCGTGACCTATTCCTGCTGTGGCAGGGACAGAGAGCCCACCTTTCTCTCCTCTTCAAAAGCAACTTGGATCAGCTCTGACTTACCCAGTCTTCCCAGGAGCCACTTGGATTCTTTCTCTTGAAGGGTTCCAGCCTTTTCAGGATGGTATGACAAGCTTCCTGAGAACACATCCCCACACAGCAGACATATTAATGTTCTGTATTTCCTGGCCCAGGCAAAACCCCAGGGCCTCAGCAAGGCCACCTCCAAGTAATGCTGTGCCCAGGATGCCATTCAAATAGTCTGGTCACCCTCTTAGGAATGACTGCGGTGGCTTCCACGCCAGGACCCTGCCAAAGGAACTGGCATTGGCCCTTGCTGGGAGAACACACATTTCTTAGGCTACAGAAGATGAAATAATTGAGGAATCCCAAAGGAGGTGACTTCTCCCATCAAACTCCTTTGTTAATTATACTCCCTACATGGAAAGAGAAGTAAGTTGGTCTGACCTGGCCAACTCCAAAATCGATTTCCAAATTCAGTCCATAGTCATGCGGCCACTTCTAACACTGGGAAGTATATCTTTACAGAATGCCCCCCCCCTCCCCGTGACTTTCCAAATCTTCTCCCCACCCTACACTCATCCTTCTTGGCTTTGATGGAAGTGATTGTGGCTTTTAGGCCTCTCTTTCAGCTTGGTGATGGGAGGAACAGCATTCTCTTGGATAAGACAGCCAAAGACATGGCCACAGCCAAAGAGCCTCAAGGACCATTCCAGTCCCAACCCACGGAGCTCTATGAGCCCAAAGCCCTTGGCTGGCCCTTGGCTCTGCTGGCTCCCAGGCTCCTTACATAGACAGCCTGTCCATTGAGATCGGTGCTGACGGAGGCAGCTGTGGGAGAGGTGTTAGGCACGGTGTTCGTGCTTGTCTCGCTGATGTAAATCTTAGACGTGGGGATTTTCAGTGCTCTGCTGGCCACCTAGGAAAAGAGACAACATCGCTCTCTCAGGGAGGGGTTAGCGTGGGTTTTGGCTGCCTTCTCCCCAAGACAGTTTCAGGTTCACCATTACAGGCAATAAAATAATTTTATAAGCTATAATCCTATTGAGACTGGGATGTTCTTAAATCTGTCTCAATGTGAAGCAGAACTTTATGGAGTGATTTTGTTGCATAAAAAAAATTTCATAAACTTAATGGTGACTAACAGTGTTTTTTTTTTCTTGTACAAATAGTTAATTGTCAAGTTGGTTTCCATATAACACACAGTGCTCATCCCCACAAGTGCCCTCCTCCATTCCCTTTACTCCCCTTCCCCACACCACCACCCACCAGTCCTCAGTTTGTTCTCAGCATTCAAGAGTGTCCCATGGTTCACCTCTCTCCCTCTCCCCCACTATTTCCCCCCTTCTGCTCCCCCATGGTCCTCCGTTAAGTTCCTCCTAATCCTCCTATATGTGCAAACATATGGTATATGTCCTTCTCTGCCTGACTTATTTCACTCAGCATAACACCCTCAAGGTCCATCCATGTGTAGTAACAGTGCTTTTTAAACCTAACTTTGGCTGTCTTAAAACTCCAATTTGGCCAGTCCACGTGCTAAGCAGGTTTTCCAACTAATCCAGTTCCAATGTCCTAGCTCCTCTCTGTGGTGGAAACCACCTACCTTTACACACACAACACGCCCACTTGCACACTGTTAGGGAAGGTCACCAAAACTATGTTATCACCAGAGAGCTTCTCAAGGGGCTCCATCAGTTAAGCATCCAACTCTTGGTTTCAGCGCAGGTCATGATCTCACCGTTCATGAGTTCAAGCCCTGAGTCAAGCTCTGCATGCTAACAGTGCAGAACTCTCTCTCCCTCTCGCTCTTTGCCCCTCCCCTGCTCATGCTCTACCTCTCTCAAATAAATAGTTTTTTTTAATGCAACCACCAGTTGACCCATGAGCTAGATCGACCCAAAGGATCAGAGGCTCCTCACCACTTCCCCTGTCCTTGGAAGGTGGGTTCTGCTTGCCTTTCTAGCTCCCAGTGACTGCTTCTAGGACACAGTCTCAAGATGCTGATGTGAGGTAGAGAACACCTACATAGTACCTTGACTAAATCCAGTTGACTAACCCTCTCGCTATATAAACTACTAAGATTTAGTGGGCGGGTTGGAGATCCATTTGTCTCACCGCCACCCAAGGCAAGTCTCTTATGTAAGTTCCCTTTGCTTATTAAAACTGTGATCTGCCAACTGGGCCTCTTTATCCTGTATCTCCCTGCCCTCTAATACAGGGGCCATTTCAGATTACTCCCCAGAAGCTCCTTGTAAGAAACGTATAAACCAACACAATCACAGGTCCCTAGAATGTTGGTAATGGAAGTGACCTGAGTGGTCATCTGGCCAGCCACTTTGCACAGATGAAGAAACAGAGGCGGAGAGGGGAGAAGACTTGCCCGAGGTCACATGTAAATGGGCAGCAGAGCCAGGACCAACCAGAACTGAGGCCTGCTTCCACTTCAGATGTGTGCCACCGCTCAGCTTCTCAGAGCATCCTCCCTCACATGGATGCCATGATGTCACAGAGGACTCCCAGTCTCCAGACTGCTCACCTGGACCATCTTGGTGTGAAGGCCTTGGCCCATCTCAGCGCCTCCATGGGTCAGCAGCACAGAGCCATCTGTGTACACATGAATCAGGGCTCCTCCCTACAGGAAGAGGATTCCAAACATAAAATTCGGTAAATCCTAACTCAGCATGATGCTTGGGGCCAATGGTACCAGAGCCCAGGAGAAAGAAAACCAGAAGCAGCATTTTGGATTAACGCCTCAGACTGAAAGCAGCATGAATCTTGTGATTTAATTTTGTAGCCCTTCAACAGTTTGCAGAAATTTTCCTATCTCTCTCTCTCTCTCTGTATCTTCCTCAGAGGGAAGGAGGTCAAATGTCCTTGTGTTCACTCTCAGATGAAGTGATAGGATCAGAAAGGCAGAGTAGCTGTCTGTAACCCTTCAGTCAGGACCCCAGATCTCTTGAGTCCCATGCTGCCCTCACTGACCTGTGACATTCTGGACAAATAGGGATATGCAAGTTCAAGTCCATTTAAATAGCAGAAAGCCCCTCCACTCTGCTCTGTTACCAGCAACAATGGCCTTTCCCATGTGATACTGCAGACAAAGGGGGAAATTGGGCCCCAGCCCAGTGGAGATGGACAGAATTATATAAAGCAATTACCTGATTCAGAAAAGGAAGAGTGAAGCTTATTCCAAACTTGGTAGGAATTATAGACAATCCTCTCTTCTTCCAACAATTCTCCCTGGAGAAAAAAAGGAAGATTCTCATAGAACCTTTTCTATCATGTTTGTGTCCATTCAGATGTAGCTTCAGTCAACGGCTTTGTAAAGTTGGAACAAGGCATCCTTGGAGCTGCCCACACGGTACTTATCATGACTGAGTTGTGCCCCGGTTGGGTAAACCAAATGACAAAGGGGTGGAGTTTGTGTTCTTCAGCTGCGCTGAAGGAGGGCCCAACCCTGAGGGTCTACACTTGAAGGTATCATCACTTCCTCCCAGAATGGAGCTTAGACAGAGTCAGGGTACCCTAGTCATCTTGGAGTGTAACTGTCCCAAGGATGAACTGTTGGCACTCATTGATGATAGCAGTCACTAACATCTTCTCTGTGCTTTCTATTTGGTTTCCTGGGCAACTCAGTGAGGAAAGAGAGCCAGTGTCATTACCCGCACTTTGCAGACATTGAAACTGGGGCCCAAGGAGATGGAGTGACTGTAAGGTCACAGTGATAGGTTCATGTTAGAGGCCGCAGTATAACTGAGGGGTTCTTAGTCCTAGGCTGGTGTGCCCCTGCGGCAGAGAAGTGTGTAAAGATGAACCATATTGATGGGTTAAGATACTGAGTGCAGGCTGTATATTCCCATCTGCCCCCAGGCTGATCATCATTTGAGTATCTTAAAGAGATGGCTGTGGGTGGGTCAGCAGACTCAGCACCCTCAAGCACCTTCCTAGCTTGGTAGTCAGAGTTTGGCAAATAGGCTGTAGACTATGAAAACCAAGACAATGCCAGAATATCAGACTCCTCCCCTCCCGGTGCTTACTTGTTGAACTTGTCAACCTCTCTCTTCCGGGCATGATACTGAGAGCTTGCTAGGCATTCATCCCAGCACCTGGACAAGGTGAACCCATCAAGCTTCTGGTTGAAGTGGGTCAGGTCGCCTTCCTTATACATGTTTATCCTTCGCACCTTTGCAAGGAAAGAGACACTGAGGCCTTGTTGGTGGCAAGAGATGAACGGACACAACCTAAAGTCAAGGTTCCAACCCCTCTCCTCTGCCCCCATGGGAGATGCCCAAGACACAAAGCCACTGTCCCCTCAAAGTAGGTTAACCTGGGCCACCAAATTCCCAGCTTACTTCCTCTGCTGGCATCCCACAGGTCACTGCGACTTCACTCATCCAATATTCGGCAATGAGCATTCCCTGGGGCCCCCCAAAGCCCCTGAAGGCAGTGTTGGAGGGTAGGTTGGTCTTGCACAACCGCCCAGTGCCCCGTATGTTGGGGATGTTATAACAGTTGTCCATGTGGAATAAGGCTAGTTCCATTATCTGAAGCAGAGGAAACCAAAATGGGAGAGAGCAGTGAACTGATTTCATTGGCTCCTCAAAAAAGAGATGTTGAGGCCTGCACCTATCCTTGCCTTTCCCAGTCCCACTGGTCACTGCCCCTCCTCGGGCCCAAATTATTTCTTCCCTGGTCCTGCAACAGCCTCCTTACTGGACTCCTGACCTCTGTGTCTTTCCATCCTCTAATCTCTGCCTCAAACTAAAATATAAGTTCATTTCAGGTCAAATTCTTCCTTAAAAATGACACTTATTCTCTTTGGAGTAAAGTCCATACATATTTCAGCAAGGAACTTAAGACTCTTTACGACTTTTCCCCAATATATTTTTTATCCTCTCTTCTGACTACATTTTCCTCTCACCTGACATGTCCCCCACCCCTCACCTTACCCACCTACTAACATCCTCATTCAGCACCTCCCTGGGGAAGCTCTTCCCAGACTCCCCAGTTATGACTGGTCACTTGCCTCTATGAAAAAAATAGGTGATTTATGACTTACTTTTAATTTTGTTTAATGTTTGTTCATTTTTTTGAGTGAGAGAGAGAGATAGAGCACAAGTTGGGGAGGGGCAGATAGAGAGGGAGACTGAGAATCTGAAGCAGGCTCCAGGCTCTGAGCTTCAGCACAGAGCCCCATGCGGGGAGCAAACTCACAAACCCTAAGATTGTGACTTAAGCCGAAGTTGAATGCTTAACCAACTGAGCCACCCAGGTGCCCCTGAATTCTTTTTAAAGTAGTTTCGTTTCCCATTGAAGTTGTATGGGAAATAAAGAGTCAAATACTTCATGGGGTACATTTTTGAAACTTGCAAATCTGAATTGTCTTTCTTGTACTCTACCCCTTGATTAATAATTTGGACATATATAGGATTCTGGGTTGGATTGAGGTTTTCCAGTTTCCCTCAGCATTCTGAAGGCTTTTTAGGAGTGCAGTGGAGCTCTCCAGTATAGACAAATCCAATCAATGTCCTTCCACTTCTTGGAAATACTTGTGTTTTTCTCCTCCCGGCAAGTTGTAAAATCTTTATCTCCAGGTTTCTCCAATTCACAGCGATGTAACTCAGCATTCCTTCATTGTGCTTGTTACTAGATGGGATCTTTTAATCTTAAACTGTATACCCATTCGTTTGGGGTGATTTCTTGAGTTACTTCTTGATCGTTTCCTCTGATCTAGTTTCCATTCTTTCTCTCTGAAACTTCTATTATTTGGGTTTCCTGGACTAGTCCTTGAATTTTGTTGTACTTTCTTTCCTATTTTTCTGCATTTTTCCTTTTCCTGGGGAGATTTGCTGAAGTTTCTTTCAACCCTTTTGCTTTCAGAGTTTTAATTCACAAGAGTTCATTTTTATTCTCCAACTCCTCCATGTTTATGGCATCCTATTCTTTCTTGAACGTATAATAACTCATCTCTCTGATGAGATCAATGGCAGCTTTTATTTGTTTGTTTCATTTTGGGTTTGGTTTACTTCCCCATGTAAACTCTCTCTCTCCCACAGGCTGCATTTTGTGCCTTTGATTATTTTAGTCTTAGCCATTTTAGATGATTTTAGTATGTCTCAATTAATTCCATTTTTGCTTTCCCTTAGCACTCTGTCTAACTCGTACTTCTATTTCATTTTGTCTTTTATACCTGTCTCCCCACCATACCATGAACTTGCCGGAGGCAGAAACAATGTCATATATTCTTCTATGTTGCCACCCTAGGCACTCAATAAATGTTTGCTGGATTGAATTTAAAAGCTTCTAAGATCTTTGGGGACAAGCACTGTATCTTTTTCAACCTGATTTTTCCTACAGCACCAAAAGGCACATGTTGTAAATGGTGAGACTACTAAGTGTGTTGCTTTTTTTTGAGCAGTTTTTATACTACATCTAAAGTGTGAAGTTTTCTAATCAAGACAGTTAGCCCCTAGCAAAGAGGAGTGGCATAGGGAGTGGGGACTAACGGGAACTTCTGTTTTCCCTGAAATGTTTGACTTACTTTTACAAGAAGAACCTATGCATTTGTAACTGGTATGGTTATAAAATTAACATTTTTTAACAATATAGGAAACGTAGTACCTCAAACGTAACTGTTAATTTTCAAAATTAACAAAAAGTTAACAAAAATGAACAAAATTTCATGTCTACCCTAGAATAGTATGATGATGTTCAAAGTAGCCTTATCCATAAAAGCTAAAAATGGGAACAACTCAAATGTCTTTTAAGTGGTGAGTAGAAAACAAAATATGGTCTATTCATATAATGAAATATTATCAACAGAAAAGAATGAAGGACTAATGAATCCAAAAACATTTTTCTGAGGGACACCTGGCTAGCTCAGTCAGAAGAGCATGCAAATCTTGATCTCTGGGTTGTGAGTTTGAGCCCTGCACTGGGTGTAGAGATCACTTAGATAAATAAAACTTTAAATAAATAAATAAATATACAAACCAACAAATAAATAAATAATCAATCCTGAGGGGGATAAAAGCCAAATACAAAAGATTCAATAGTATATGAGTCTATTTATATGAATAAAATATAAAAGGAAAATCTATAAAGACAGAAAGTAGGTTGGTGGATGTCTGGACTGGGCAGGGGATGAGAATAGGAGTGATTGGAAGAGATCACTTTCAGGTGATGGAAATGTTCAAAACCTACATTACAATAATGGTAACATGATTCTTTAAATTTACTAAAAACCATTAAATTGTATATTTCAGTGAAACCGTTGCCATAAAAAGAAAAAAGAAGAATAAATTTATTACTTAAAATTCAAACATCACAAAAATGTGTTACACAGAAAATGACACGGAGTCCCCCCTTCCTTCCATCCAACCATTGTTTAGTGTAAGTTCTTTTTGGAATTTTCCATGCACATCATTATATCTATAATACATATACATATAATACATACATATGTATTATAGAGGTATGTTTTCAATTTACATACACACACAATGCCACCATACTCTGCATAAAGATTTGTAACTGACTTTCCTTGCTTGGCAAAATATCTTGAATAATATGGAAGGATTTCATTTATATATTTACATATGTATGTATGTATTTATTTATTTAACACAGGATTCAATCTCAGACCATGAGATCATGACCTGAGCTGAAATCCAATGATGCTTAACTGACTGAGCCACCCCAACACCCCAAAGGAAGAATTTCCAATGATTAAAGTAATAGGTTTATCTTTTTTTTTGGAGATTAATCAAGGGTAGAAATCCTGAAGGCGGGCACCAATGGGGAGGCTGCTATAATAGTCACAGGTAGTAAGTGAGGAGGCCTGTGTCTGTGTGGCTGTGGGGCCCGCCCTTGACCTCCCAGTCACCCCCAACATGTAGGGGTGCATCCTACTCACACTCTGGGAGAGATCCATGGTGTTCCCTGCATTGCTGTAGTGCTCCACCTTCAGAGCCACCACCTTCCCGGTCTTCATGAAGCCAACCTGACAAAAAAGAGGGTGATTTCTCAAAAGTCCCCTTCCTCTGCCTATCCCTAATCATCCCATCCCACTTATGCTACTGAGCAGAAGGAAAGAGAACAAGACATCACACCATAAAAACAAGGTCACCAGAGCTTACCATGTTGAGCAGAGAGGAAGCTAACATCTCTCCAGTGATGTTCCATGGGTCCTGGACCAGGAACACACCACCTCCCCATGCTCCCCCTTCCTTCTACCTAAACTGCCTCTGGTTCTATGAGAGGGACTGAGGGGGCAGAGAGGGGAAAGCTGGGAAGAGAAACAGAGAGACACCAGACAGGCGCCCCACACCTTTTGACCAGCAAGCCAGAACAAACAGGAATGTGCTTTCATATCCCTGACCTTACATAGCCATGAGAAAAATTTTACAGTCCATTTCATAAGTGAGGACCTGGGACCTTCTTCGGGACCACAGGATTTTGGGAATAAGGGAAATATCATGCCTTTGGGGAAGTTCAACCATGAAACAAAATGACAAGAGGCCAAAGGGGAATGTTCAAAACCAGATCATGGAGAGAAAGGGCTCCTTGACTGGAATCGGTCAGGATATACTGGTGTTTAGAGGGACGGGATGCATGGTCATCCACAGACGCTCAGAAAAAGGGACTGCTACATATGGAGCAGGTCCTCTCCCTAACAACCTGGCACTTTTATTTCTCACTGTAAATTACTGAGTAGTCATTCTGGTTTTTATATCAGGCTGTGAACATATTGACAATAAGTCATTCTGCAGGATGGATTTACCCCAGGGCTGCTGAAAAATCATACTTCTGAGCCTGAGTGGAGAAAAACTTGATATGGGACAGAGAAAATTCACGAAAGGCGTAAACACCACATTGCACCCTCACTTGGGAGGTGGCCACCAGCTTCCCCCCTATATGTTGCTGTTGGCCAATTGAAATTTTTCTCATTGCTATTTCTTCTTTGAACTTCTACAGGTAGTCATGGAAAATGTTAAGAGTACATCCCAGGATAGCTGGGATCTCTAGGTTTCCCAGTGAGATGGCACTTCCACTCCTGCCCCCAGCATAGCTCCCGACATATAGAACCTTGTATCTGGCTAAGAAGGGGTGTCTGCCACCAGTTATCAGCATGTCCTCATCACGATCCAGCATGCAGCGCACAGGGCGACCAGTCCTAAAGGGAAACATCAGAGGGTTAGAACACTGGGAGCCTCTGCAACAGCCCCATCCTTGGGTTTCAGGGATGAAAACAGCCTAGAGACTTCTTTTTCCACGTGGCACCCACCTGGGGCTGGGCTGCTTTGCTGTCTAGTTACTGTGCTGGACACATGGGGAATATGAGGATATGATGAGTGCCCTTGCCTTTAGAGCCCTCACAGCCAGCCAGGGGAGACAAAACATGGACCCATGCATCAAACACAAAGAAACAGGTGGTGTTACCCTCCCCCAGATGCCCAAGAGTCCTAAAAACAGAAGGCTATGAAAATTCAGAGTAAGGGGAATCTACTTCTAAAAGAGAAAAATCCAGAAAGCCTTCCTGGCAGAGTCCACCTTAGTCTCCTTCCCTGAACTGGCTAGGAAGACTCACTTGTAAGCAGCCAGGGCCACTGCCGTGGACACCACAGTGCTCCGCGTCTCTTTCCCTCCAAAGCCCCCTCCCATTCTCTTCACCCGGACCAAAATCCGGTTTGCTGGAACCCCCAACATGTTTGCAACAAAGCTCTGTGGACAAAAGAAAAATTTCTTTCACTGAACACGTCATCTGGACTTACTTCAGCCTCATCTAGAGTCTGCCAGACATCCACAAGGCTAATTACTGCTGTGAACTCTGAAATTCCTTGATTCCGGAATCCCCCTCACCTCCCCAGGCAGCCCATGAGCTCAAGGTGCTGGAGTCAAACATTCATTAGTCACTGCAGACTGAATTCAGACATTTATTTCTAACCAATGGGGTGAGAGCTGCACACAGCAGACTTTCAGAGCCAAAGTTCATTCCATTTAGCTAGGAACGGGTGAGTTGTGGGCGCTGGACCAGCTGCCAAAACTGCCGGCCACCACTGTCGCCTTACCAGCAATAGAGAAATGAAGAATATTTGAGCTGCCACAGATAATTTAGCATTCTGTGTGGCTCTCACTAAATCCATCGCCCAACTTTACAGATGAGGAGACTGAGATCGGCTATGATTTGACCAAGGGCATATCTCACTGGAATAATAAAAGCCAACACTTATTAGGCACTACCTTGGTAGTCAACATCTAATCAATACAACACCCTACCGAGCCAATTTTATGGATGAGGACACCAAGAAAGGTTCCATAACAACTCACATCGACTTATTGGTTGACAGGGTCTGGCTAAGGACCCCTAACCTCAAATCCCCTACTGGACAACCCGGGATCTCCCTCTTCCCATGTCCCATATCACCAACTCCTAGTCTTCCAGATGCTCCCCAGTGCCCTCTCCAGGCCCTGGAGCTGACTCCCCAGGACACCTACCTGGGTCTTCATGGTGTTCTGTGTAGACACAAAGAGCTCCATCTCCCCTGCCTCGCCTTTGGGGACAGCGATGGTGCAATGAGTCTCCAGGTAGAAGTGCTCCTGGCCACCAATGTACAACTCGCCTGAGGAGGCAATGCGACCCCCATGGTGATCTGGAGTTTCCTTAAGGAGAGCACACTTGCCCAGGGCCCCGGGCAGGAACCAGCTGCTCACAGGCAGGTATGCTCCAGGTTCCCAGCATGGGTGAAAAGGCTCTCAGAGCCTTAGCCACCCAGGGGAGCCAAAGCTCCCACCCCAACAAAGAAACCAGAATGATGTCAAAATGCATCAGGCACAATGCTTTCTTTAACTTTCCAGCCAGTGGAAATTAAAGACTTTCAATATTGGGGGAAAGGTAAAAAAAGGAATTAATAAATGTAACTGAAAAGCTAAAAATGAGAGCATCTTCTGGAATGGAAGGTACCAGGCCAGTTGGAGAGTTGGCTCACCAGTGATTTAACAATACAAGATGGACAGTGTAGGAAACAATTCCCAAAGGGGTGTGGCAAGCAGACAGGTACCTTGCAGGCCCACAGAGAGGGTCAGGACCTGTAGCCACTAATTCCCCCAGTGGCCTTCCAAATTCAACACACTCGTAGCCCCTCAGAACCATGTAGGCATATGTAGCCTAGAGACAGGAGGTAGAGATTTAATTGGCAGAGGGTCTAGCGGTGCCTGGGTGGCTCAGTTGGTTAAGCGACTGACTTGAGCTCAGATCATGATACCCCAGTCAGTGAGTTTGAGCCCATGTGTCAGGCTCTGTGCTAACAGCTCAGAGCCTGTAACCTGTTTCTGATTCTATGTCTCCCTCTCTCTCTGCCTCTCCTCCACTTTTGTTCTCTCTCTCTCTCTCTCTCTCTCCCTTCCTCTTTTTCTCTCTCTCTCTCTCAAAAATAAATAAAAAATTAAAAAAAACTTTTTTAAATGATGGAGGGTCTTTTCTCGTCACCTGTCTACTATTTTGCTACGAACATTGGGCGGACTCTTCTGTTAAAACTCCACGCCCCTTCTCCAGAACTCAAGTTTCAGCTCTTGAATTTAATTCATAAACCAGGGCTAGCCCATTCCCCAAAACTGCATGGTGCAGCTGTACCTGAAACAATGTTGTCTGCTTCTGAAAACCCCTTCCTGAGGCTTCCTTTCTCTATCATCAGCTCAGGCCCATAAAAGGAGTCATTTTTAATAGCATCCTGAAGACCAGAAAGATGTTTCAGTGATTGGAACTTCAGGAGAAGGAAGATCATTTCCCACCAGGGGGAAGAGAAGCTGTTGGAACCAGGCGTCTTACACGGACTTAAACTAAGCTCGCATGCAGCCCAGGAGTCACATACCCCCGTTTCCTCAGAGATAGTTGAACACCCTTGGATCTGAGGAAAAGTAGAGACCCTCAAGTAACCAATGGGAACTGGCATTGGGAAGGAGGGACCTAGTTTGGTCACTAGTGGACTGAGTCTGGGATCATGATGGGGAAGTTTTCAGAAGACCACACAATCCCAGGGCTGAAAAAGATTTAAAAACTTGTCTAATCAAATCACACCAGCTGCTGAAAATCCCCCCTAAAGTATCCTAGTAAAGGTGCCTCAAGGGACAGGGGGCTCACCCCTCTCCATGCAGTCCTTTCTCAGTTACCTCAATTGTGATAATGGCTGGAAGATCTTCATAGGTGATTTTCACCGCTTGAGCAGCTCTCTGTGCATGTTCTCGGGTATCAGTGACCACAGCCCCAATGATGTGCCCAACGCAGGTCACCTGGGAACAGAGCCAAACTGTTAAAGAACATAATGCACTCCTCATGAAGCAAA